GCATTTTTCAAAGTAGACATACAGATGGCCACAAGATATGAAAAGATGATCAGCATCACTAATTATCATAAAAATGCAAATCAAAATCACCATAACTAATTTGCATATATAAAATATACACAGGATTATTATTTTAAAAATTATCAGTGAAGGTATGAAAAAAAGGGAACCCATGTGCATTGTTGGTGAGGATATAAATTGGTGCAGTCATTATGAAAAATGGATGTTTTATGTATAAACTTTCTTAAAACTTAAAAATACAGCTACTATGTGATCTGCCAATTGATTTCTGCATCCACATCTAAATGAAATGAAATTAACATTGTAATTTATCGCACTTCCCCTTTTATTTCAGCATTATTCACGATAGCCAAGCTATAAAACAACCTAAATGCTTGCAGACCAGAGGAGTGGGAAGGGGTTGGGGGAGGAGACACATTATCAGTAAGGGTACCTGACCTCAAATCAGGCAAAGTAGGGACCAAAGGGAAGCCCAAACTTTACCTGCATGCTGTCCACTTGCAAGCCTAATTCTGAATTGTACCCCACATCTTTAAAATAAAATAAAATATAAATAAGTAATAATTCAAAAAAATTTTAAAAAGAAAATGTCATGCATTTATGTGTATGTGTACACAAATGTGCATGCGCATGTGCGTGCACACACACACACACAACACACATACACACACAAATAATTAACTCCTGCACTCTGCAATAACATGGATAAAACTGGAGGACTTCACCAAGTGAAATAAGCCAGACACCAGAAAAGAAAATACTACATGATCTCACCTATATGTGGAATGCAAAAGCGTTGAATTCGCAAAACCACAGAGTGGAATGGTGGCTTCTGGAGGCTTGGTAAAGGGTGTGAAAAACGAGGAGATGAGGTGTTGGCCAAAAGGTACAACTCTTCAGTGAAAAGATAAATAAGCACCTGAGAACTAATGTACAGCATGGTGACTATAGTTAATAATGTACTGTATACTGAAAATTTACTAAGGAGTGAAACTTAGATGTTCTCATTACCAAGAAAGATAACTATGTGAGTTGGTAAGTGTGTTATTGAGCTTGACTGTGGTAATCACTGTCAAAATGTATAATACATACACATATAAAATCTTGAAATTGAATACTATATTAGTGTATATTGAATTATACATACACTATTTTTATCTGTCAATTGTATTTCAATAATGCTGGAGAAAAGAAGTTAAATAAAAAGCCTACGACAAACATCATACTCAATGTTGAAAACAAAGGCTTTTCCTCTTAAGATGCAAAACAAGGAAAAAAAGGCCTACTCTCACCAGTTTTATTTAACATAATATTGGCAATTTTAGCCAAAGCAATTAGGCAAGAAAAAGAAGGTATTCAAATAAGGAAGTAATAATTAAACTTGTCAATTTGTAGATGGACATACTAATATATAAAATACTAATAAATTTTGTAAATTTGAAAGTTAAAGGAAAAAAGTCAACATGCAAAAATTACTTTTGTTTCTGTACACTAGCAAACTATCTAAAAAGGGAATTACAAAAACAATGCCATTTAAAATAGCACCCCAAAAATATTAAGGAATACATTTAATTAAGGAAGTGAAAGAATACAAAACATTGATGGAATAAGTTAAAGCTAACACATACAAAATAAAAAATAACCAGTGTTCATAGGTTGGAAGACTTAATATTGACAAACTGCCATGCTACCCAAATGATCTATAGATTAAAGATAATCCCTAACAAAATTCCAATGGCATTTTTACAGCAATAAAAAAATTTTTTAAATTAATTTGGAACTGCAAAGATCACAAATAGTCAAATCAATCTTGAGAAAGAAGAACAGATCTGTAGTTATCATGCACCCCCACTTCAAAGTACACTGCAAAGGTACGAGTAATCATGGGTAAGTGTAGACCCATGGAACAGAGGACAAAGCCTAGATGTACTCCCACACATAATATGGTCAACTCATCTTCCACAAGTGTGCCAAGAACACACAATGAAGAAAGGATAGTCTTTTTGACAAATGGTGTTGGAAAAACTAGATTCTTCACATGCAAAAGAATAAAATTGGACCCTTATTTTACAACAGACATAAAACTTAAAATGAATTAAAAGACTTAATTGAAAGATCCAAATCTGTAAAACTAGAAGAAAACACAGGAAGAAAACTTCATGACATTGGTCTTGGCAATAATTTCACAGATATGACTTCAAAAGCACAGACAACCAAAAGAAAAATGAGCAAGTGGGACTATATCAAGCAAAAAGCTCCTGGACAGCAAAGAAAATAATCAGTATAGTGAAAAGGCAACTTACAAAATGAAATAAATATTTCTTTCTTTTTTTTTTTTTTTTTTTTT